GCAATGAGGAATGAAATAGGTGAAGTCACAACAGACCCAACAGAAATCCAGAGGATTATTAATACCTACTTTGAGAAACTGTACTCGAATAAAATGGAAAACACAGAAGAAATTGACAGATTTTAGGCTACTTATGAATTACCAAAGTTGTACAAAGAAGATAAAAGCATTTTAAACATTGCAATTACAATCAGTGAAATTGAAAATGTAATTAAAAATTTAGCAACAAAGAAAAGCCCAGGTGCTGATGGATTCACTGCTGAATTTTACAAGACGTTTAGAGAAGAACTACTGCCATTACTCTTCAAACTTTTCAATGAAATTGAAATGGAAGAAGTACTTCCAAATTTATTCCTAGAAGCAAGTATCACTTTAATTCCCAAACCAGGGGAAAACACAACTAAAAAAGAGAACTACAGGCCAATCTCCTTAATGAATATAGATATAAAAATCTTTAATAAGATACTAGCAAACAGAATACAGAGGATCATCAAGCAGATCATACATCCTGACAACGTCGGATTTATTCCAGGGATGCAAGGATGGTTCAACATACATAAGTCAATAAATGTAATACACTATATTAACAAAGTCAAGGATAGAAACCATATAATCCTCTCGATAGATGCAGAAAAAGCATTTAACAAAATTCAACACTCATTCACGATAAAAACCCTGTGGAAGATTGGAATAGATGGTCTATATCTAAACTTAATAAAGGCTATCTATGAAAAACCAACAGACAACATCATAGTAAATGGCCCAAAACTGAAAACTTTCACATTAAAATCAGGAACAAGACAAGGATGTCCACTATCACCACTCCTCTTTGATATAGTTTTGGAAACATTAGCCACAGCAATTAGACAAGAGAAAGAAATTAAAGCAATAAAGATAGGAAAGGAAGAAGTTAAACAGTCATTATTTGCTGGTGATATGATACTCTACACTGAAGACCCAAAAAACTACACCAAAAGACTTCTAGACTTAATTGACACTTTTAGCAGAGTAGCTGGATACAAGGTCAACACCCAAAAATCAGCAGCCTTCTTGTACACAAATAACAGACTCACTGAGACAGAAATTAGGAAAATAATTCCTTTCATCATAGCATCCAAAAAAATGAAGTATCTAGGAATCAATTAATGAAAGAAGCAAAAGACCTCTTCACTGAAAACTACAGCACTCTGAAAAAAGAGATCAGAGAGGATATCAGAAAATGGAAAGATATCCCCTGCTCCTGGGTAGGAAGAATCAGCATAGTGAAAATGGCCATACTACCAAACTGCTATACAGATTCAATGCAATGCTGATTGAAATTCCAACACTATATTTCACAGAACTAGAAAAAAGAATCCAAAAATTCATTTGGAACCATAAGAGACCTAGAATAGCAAAAGCCATCCTAGGTAACAGGCACATGGCAGTGGGTATAACAATTCCCAATTTGAAACTATACTACAAAGCCATTGTGATAAAAACAGCACGGTACTGGCAAAGAAACAGACCTGAGGAATAGATTGGAAGACACAGAAACAACTCCAGATATACTCAGCTGCCTCATCCTTTTTTTTTTTTTTTTTTTTTTTTTTTGTACCAGGGATTGAACTCGGGTCCTTACACTTGCAAGGCAGGCCAATGAACTGCTGAGCTAAATCCCCAGCCCAGCTACCTCGTCTTTGACAAAGGAGCTGACCATCCTGACTGGAGGAAAATACCCTTTTATAAATGGGTTGCAAAAACTGGATTTCAACCTGCCAAATATTAAAATTAGACCCTTATCTTTTACCATGCACTAAATTAAAATCCAAGTGGATTAAAGATCTAAATATTAAAACAGAAACATTAAACTTGCTGGAAGGTAAGTTAGACAGAACTCTTGAAGACATTGGCATAGGAAAAGACTTTATGAACAAATCCTCAGTAGCACAGAAACTAGCACAAAGAATCAACAATTGGGATCTCGTCTTATTAAAAAGCTTCTGCACTTCAAAAGAAACCATCAGGAGACACTACGATGTGAAAAACAATTTTACCAGCTGCTCCTCAGACAAAGGACTATTATCTAAAATATATAAAGAACTCAAAACAATCAGCCCCCCCAAATATAAAGATCTGATTAAAAAATGGACATCTGAAATGAACAGACATTTCTCAGACAAAGAAGTAAAAGCAGCAAGCAAATATATGAAAAAATGTTCCACATCACTGGTCATTCAAGAGATGCAATGAAAACAACACTGAGATTCCACCTCACCCCACAAAGAATGGCTGCTATCAAGAAATCAAACAAGGGCCAGGGATTTAGCTTAGTGGTTCAGTGGTCTGCCTTGCAAGTGCAAGGACCTGAGTTCGATCCCCAGTACCACAAAAAAAATTTTTTTTAAAAGAAGAAATCAAACAACAATATCAAATGTTGGCAGGATTGTGTGGAGAAAGCAACCCATCTCCATTGTTGGTGGGAGTGCAGACTGGTGCAACCACTATGGAAATCATTATGGAGATACCTCAAAGAGCTGGGACTAGAGGACCTAGCCATCCCTCTGCTGGGTATCTTTCCAAAAGAATTAAAAGAATCATACCACAGTGATATATGTGCACCTATGTTTATAACAGCACAGTTTGTAATAGCTAAAACTTGGAAACAGCACATTTGCCCATCAGTTGGAAAATGGATAAAGCAGATGTGGTTTCTCTATAAAATGGAATACTACTCAGCTATAAAGAATGAGAAATTAGATTCATTCATAGGAAAATGGATACATATTGAGGATATACTCCTAAGTGAAATAAATAAATCACACATGTGTAAATACTGAGTAGTTTCTCTGGTGTGAATAAATTATAATAGTACATAAGATCCTAATGATATAATTGACAATGTGAAATAGGAAGAAAAGGGCTAAACGTGTAGGCAAAGTGGGAAGGGTAGGGGAAAGGTAATAAGGGAAAAGAAAAAATAGGAGAAAATGAAAAAATGGAAATAAAGTGTTTGTAAATGGGGAGGGGCGGAAGGGATGAAGGGAGGGCAGGGACAAGGGGAAAAAATGAGAACCAAGACCTGTCATGTAAAGGTACAAGAGCCCAATAATGAATGTAACTGTTCTGTATTCCTAAAATGTACCAATAACCTCAATGAGGAAAATAAATAAAAGCTTCTTCACATCAAGGGAAACCAACAGTGTGCAAAGACAACTCAAATGTGGGAAAATACGTTGTTCACCAGCTGTTCCTCAGACAAAGGTTTACTATCTAGAATATATAAAAAACTTAAAAAAGTCAGACCTCCAAAATTTAAAACACAATTCAAAAATGGGCATCTGAAATGAAAAGGCATTTCTCAGACAAAGAAGTAAGAGCAGCAAGCAAATATATGAAAAAATGTCCAACATCATTGGTCATTTGAGAGATGCAAATCAAAACAATACCGAGATTCCTCCTCACCCCAGAAAGAATGGCTGCTGTCATGCAATCAACCAATAACAAATGCTGGCAGGGCTGTGGGGAAAGAGGAACCCTGCTCCACTGCTGAAGTATAGACTGGTGGGTGCAACTACTGTGGAAACCAGTATAGAGATACCTCGAAGAGTTAGGCTTGCAAGTCCCATTTGCCACAGCTATTCCCCCACTGGGTACCTTCCCCAAAGAGTTAAAAGCATCATACCGCAGTGATATATGTGAACCATGTTCATAGCAGTACAGTTTGTAATAGCTAAAACTTGGAAGCAGCCAATTGCCCATCAATGGGTGACTGAGTAAAGAAAATGTGGGTTTTTTAATTTTTTTATAAAATGAAGTACTACTCAGCCATAAAGAACAAAAAACTAGAGATATAGCTAAATTGAATCATATTAAGGCGCTACTCTTAAGTGAAATAAAACACGTGTAAATACTGAATAGTTTCTCTAGTGTGAGAAACTGCACTTGTAAATAAGGATGAAAAGGTAAAATAGATAATGTGAAATAGGAAGAAAAGGTGCAAAGGGGAAGGGGAAGTGGGAGGGAAAAAGAAGGGAATGGAATTAATATGAGAAAAATGAAAAATTGGAAACAAAGTATTTGGAGACAGGGAGAAAGGAAAGGATTGAAGGGAGGGCAGGGGAATGGGGAAAAAATAAGAACCAATATGGATTATGTAAAGGTGCAAATTTCCAATGATGAATGTCATTATATTGTATACCTTAAATGTACTGATAAAATTAATTTAAAAAATAAAGAGATGACGTGCCCTGGAAAGTGAGTGTTAGGCAGAGCAGGGTATATGACAAGTATGTGCAGTATATGTGTGATGGTAGCACACCTGAACCCTGAATAGTCAGAGTGCCAAGGAAATTATGGCACTGAATGCTGATGGTAACATACGTAGGCTGCAAATGACTAGACTACTCTTGCATAGCTCATAGATGTGTGTGGGTTGAAGTCTCATGAAAGGTACAGTGGTTTAAGGATGGAATTTATAGAGCATATGCTCCTGTGATCGACTGTCCTGTGACCAGGGAGGGTGACATTAGGCTTACAGGTGGCTGGGAAGTTCATTTGTAATATTCAAGGCATAGAAGTTAGGTCTGATTTATTTATTTGTTTGTTTGTTTGTTTGTTTGTTTTTGTACCAGGGATCTATCTCAGGCCTTTGCGCTTGTGAGGCAAGTGGCAGAACCACTGAGTCAAATCCCCAGCCCAATCTGATTTATTAAATAAGCAACAATAATTTTATGACCAAAGGCCATTCATTTTACTCCCTGACCTTAGTTTCTTTTGCCTGTAAAATAAAGAGGTTAGATTTGAATATTGAATCTCTCACATTTGTACATTCAATACTTAAAATAGTTTTCTGCTTTAAAGTATTAAGTAAATTTAATGGTAGATTGTGTGTATATGCGTGTGTGTGTGTGTGTGTGTGTGTGTGTGTGTGTGTGTATAGGCTGTGCCTAATATGAACAGAACATGTTATATGCCATTTTTAAAATGTACTGACAGAGTTTTTTCCCTCTACCTTTTAGATGGCTGAATACTTTAGGAATGCTGGCCAGTCAGGGCATCGATGTTGTGATACGGCACTCATTTTTTGACCATGGATACAATCATCTGGTGGACCAGAATTTTAACCCATTACCAGTAAGTGTGAGATAAAGATTCTTAGCTCATTTTCTATATCATTTAGTTCTTTTGATCATGCCTTTTTCCACACTAGGAGAATGTTTCTTCTTTTACTATTGTCAATTAATTTAAGAAATCCACAGAAGCATTCTTGTTCTTGTTCCCTTGACCCATTTTACAGACTTCTGCCTTCAACACACACACACACACACACACACACACACACACACACACACATACATGTGTTAATATACATTTGTATATATTTATTACTATTATTTTAATAAATCTTGTGCAATCAAGATTCCATATCTACTTGTGGCCTGTTTGAATTCTGCTTGAGAGTGAATTTTTCCAGGTTTTTGTTTTTCTTTTTGTTTTGGAGGCAGGGTCACACTATGTAATTCAGGCTGCTGGCTGTAAACTCACTATGTAGCCCAGGCTGGCCTTGAACTCACAGGAATCCTCCTTCCCCAGCCTCAAGTGCTGGGATTACAAAGACATCATGGTCATGACAAAAGATCAGACCCCTCTAACTAACTCATAAAATGTCAGAGTTGGGATTCCCTTTTGAGATGATCTAGTTCTGCACCATAAAGAGATGATAGTTTAGGCCATGGAAGCAAATAGGGGTTGTAGCACCATCAGCCCTCCACTCTATTCTGTGCCTTGGTCTAGTCTAGAAAAAAAATCCAAACCATAACAATAAATGTTGGGCCGGGGATTTAGCTCAGCGGTTCAGTGGCCTGCCTCGCAAGCGCAAGTACCTGAGTTCGATCCCCTAAAAAAAAAAAAAAAAAAAAAAAAAAAAAACAATAAATGTTCCTGCCTCTTGCTCCCTTTTGCCCTTTTCTATCCCACTCCTTTCACATTCCACACCCTGAACCAGGAGGCTTCAGAGCCCAGAGCAAGAAACACCTTGGTTCCCAACAACCCTGTTTCCATGTCTCAAAATAACCTATGTAGGTTAGAGTATGTAGTGATTATTGTACCACTGACTCCAAGACTCCAGTTAAATCATAAATATTAAAACTAACTGGCACAACTGCTTTCATTCACAGAATAAAAATAACTCTCTCAAAGCATATGTGTAGTACGGTAGGGTGGGGAAGAGTGGCATAGAAGTTTTCAGTTTGGAACTACAGCATTTTGTTTTCTTTTGTCTTAGCTTATATATTTGTAGAAACAAAATAATTGGAAAAGTATCTATAAAATGTAAGCATTAAACAACTATAAAATTACATATTTTATTTGAAATAAATATGTTATTGAACATTATGCCCTGAGGAGGTTAATAATACACAAAGGAATAAAGAAATAGTAGAGTACTGTAAGGGCTTCTCTAGAAGGGAAGGGTTTCTCTAAGGACAGGAAGTCGAGAGCCAAGGGCACTAAGAAACTGGCTATGCAGATCTTGCAGAAGAGGCTAACACAAAGCCTCCAAGACAGGAACAAACTTGGCATGCTTGTGGAAACACAAGAACACTAAAATGACTAGGGCATGGCGAGGGAGAAGTAGACTGGTTGGAAATGAGATAGGCAGGTGTTAGATCACACCCAGCAGTTTAGCTTTCGTACTTAGTATGAAAAGCCATGAGATGACTTTAATCAGAGAAGTAATATGATCTAACTTACACTTTTAAAAGATCACATTAACATAATTAATGCAACAAATGTTAGTTATCACTTTTTTCATTGAGTTTATTGGTATATTTTAGGTATACAGTACAGTTACATTCATCATTGGGATCTTGTACCTTTATTTGATGTATCTTGGTTCTTATTTTTTACCCATTCCCCTGCCCTCCCTTCACCCCCTTCACCCTTCCCTATTTACAAAAACTTTGTTTCCATTTTTTGCTTTTTTCCTATTTTTTCTTTTCCCTAATTTCCTTTTTAATAATGATGTACATAATTTATAAGTCATTTTTAAAATGGTACATCAACAAAGCTATAAAAACTGTTCTCCTTATGCCCTTTTCCTTTTCTTTTTTCCTTCACTGAAATTTTATTTACTCTTCCTGATCACATACTATGAATTTATTGCTATTCTTGGAAATGGACCACTGTGATGAACCAAAATTTCAGGTTGCTCAGAGTTTATAATGTAGGGCAGTGGCAGCAAACCTATGGCATGCATGCCATAGAGGGCTCTTTGTATTATTGAAAGCTCTAAAAGGTTCACTGAGAAATGGGAAATAAATAAACATGAACAAGGTAATTTTCACTTGTCATAAGTGCTCTAAAGGCAGCCTAGTGAAGTAAATACAACTTTTTAAATGTATTTTGCTGAAAATAAAATAAAACTCTAGAAGGTTATTAAGTAAACATCCAGGGCATCTCAGATAAATAGTAAGAGCTAGAATTGTCTGGGTTTTCCAGCTTTAAATCCTGTTTTCTTTTCACTGTGCCACACTGTTTCTTTCAGTACCCCTTTAGGTCTTTGTTGTGGCTTGAGGCAAATTTTTCTTGGAGAAAAACACGCCTTTGGGGTAAGTTGAGAGAAGAAAACAGACTAGAAAAAAAATAGTCTTTGGATGACTAGATAGGCTTCATTTGTAGAGCTGGACAAACTCAGCTTCCTTATCAACCCTCTACATACCTTTTCTTAGCCATGTATAAGTTAAAGACCAAAGTTTCCATGGCTTTGTTCTCCCAATATGAGAGTTACTGTCAATGACTTCCTTTAAAATTATGGCAGTTGATACTTGTGACAGCAGGACTCAAAGAAGTCCATAGGAAGCTAAAACAAGTTCTATTGATTTAACACAAAAGCTCAAATAGCTGTATTTCTTGGAACAAGCTCCAATAAAGAAACTGGATATAAAAGCACTTAAAAATGTAGCCACTTTTTATCTTTCTTTATGGTAATAAATTCTGCACGTAGTAAGTCGAGAAACTGCATCTGGGAGTCATCCTGTCTCCCCTGGAAAGAATTTACAATTCTAGATGGGTACCAATCTGACAGTGCCAGCAAGCCCCTGGCATGTCTATGGAGACAGGTCTGGGGATCATATTGCTTGCCACTATGGGGACTTGCACAATTGATAGCAAAACACTGCCAATAAAAATTTGTGGAATTTACATTGTGATTAAACCTTCACTGGGGTTTGTTAAGAGTTTAAGGGATTAGTGAGTTTGGCTGCCTCAAAGGAAAAAAATCAATATTTTCTATTCCAGTTTCTTCAAACCTTGCTTAGTGCATCAGGGAAAGATCTTATTAGCAAACTCTGGTTTTTATTTGTTAGTACTAATGGGTAAATTCAGAAAAAGTGAGCAAGTTGGCCCAATCAATCCTCAAGACATATACCATATTGCCCCTCCCTGTGCTTACTGAACTTTTACCCCGTTGCAGCCCAGCTCTGGTGGGGCCATTAGCCGCGATCCATTATAATGGTGTATGTCTATTATTATTACCCATTTGTCCAGCCCCATAGAATGGATACCACCACTAGAGAATTCTACTACAGAACTAGTGAACTTGTGGTGTTAATATGCCTGCTCAGGTGCATCCAGTGTAGCACTCTAGTGGGGAATGTTGATAATGGAGGAGACTGTAAATGTATAGGAGCATAGGATATATAAGGTATCTCTATACTTTCTGCTCAATGTTGCCGAGATTCTAAAACTTCTCTGAGAAAAGTCCTTTAAAAAGGAAAAAGGAGAGAAAGAGAAACCCCTACTGAGAAAATAACACTTTCAAGTGGATCCCCTGTTCTTCAGTTATTTCTCTCTAGAAAAGTGCCAGCCCTTTTCCTATCATGAGACTTTCTTTCTCTTAAGAAAATGAGAACATTTATTTGAACTATGCTTCATCACTCAATTTTCACTTCTTTCCCCTGAGCCCCCGCCCCCCGGTCACTGGGGAACAGGGGACGTGTGTCTCCACAGCCAGTCAGTCATATGCTCCCTTGGGACACGACCTAATTAGGCAGCATCATAGGGAGCAAGAGTCTAGGTCTATAACAAAGTCTGTGGGCTCTATTTCTAGCTCTGGTATACTTGTCTGTGTGTTTTAGGGTTCCAGTTTCAATGGCTAAGTGAGGATACAAATGCCTCCTTTAATTCCAAAAGGTGCTGCTACTCTCCTTGACAAAATCAGTTGTAACAGTAAGACTCTGATTTAGTATATACATATACGTGTTCTGAGTCAGGCCATCACTGGCAAGATATCATTCAGCCTTTGGAAAGAAAATCTGACTCATTGTTGCTTGTCTGGCTCACAGTTGTAGATTAAACTATCATAAGATCCTAGGAACGATTCGAAATGCTCCATCTTTGTTTTCCTTCAAAATATTACAGAGTGTATATGGTATATACTATATAGACAATATATACAGCATATAATGTTAGAGACAGTGTATATTTGTATATACATATACAAAATTATTGGAAGGGACTACAAATGTTAGAAGTGGTTTTTTTAGGGAGTGAGAATATAGAATTATAATTTTCTTCTATGTGGACTTTTGGTATGTAAACTTGCTTAAAATAAGCAATACCAAATTTTAAAATCTGAAAACATAAAGCCCATTTTAAAAGAAAAAATAGTGTTCTGAAAAGACTAAGTGCTTTAAATTACTAAGCAAATATGATCTCAGTCTAATTCATTTGACCTGTATGATTTATTCATTCATTGAGACTTATTACCTGCATCCTGTGTGCTAGATAGATACTGTGCTAGAATCTAGAGTCACTGAATCTTCCCTTAAGAAGATACAGCATAGATGAGGAGACAGCTACATTAGCAGGGGCTCTGACAGAAGCACTTTTACAGGTACAAGAGGAATACATACAGAAGCCAAACTGGATGGAGGACAGTATGGACCATCCAGGAAGATTTTCTGAAAGAAACAATGCTTAAGCTGGATCCTTAAGAAGGGAAAGTTAGCCATGGAAAAACGAGTTTGGACTGGGAAAGATCTTCTAAACACAGGCAGTAACATGTGCAAATATAAAGTATTATTTTTCAATAAGTCATGGTGGGTGAATTATGAGAAATTATTTAGGAAAGTTTT